AAAATTAAGGAGGCCATAAAGTAATGATGTCATGTCCCTGCAAACGTCACTTCTCCCACATGTTATAAAAACGAAAAACGCAGAATTTCATCATTTTAATTGGATCAAACAAAACAAAATTTTTAAATATAAAGCAAAAATATGTGTCCTCAGATTAGCAGTATGCCAAATTCATGCAACCATCCCTCATTACAAAAATGCCTAGTGATGGAACTGATAACCTACAGTAACTGTTCCTCGACCAGTAGTGTATTGTAAATTATTTTGATGTAATGAATAATTAATATTTCATGATGAACAAAGGCCAAGTTCATTCATATAAGATTGTAAAAGAAAGGCCAATTATTATAATCAACTAATTATCACAAAAAAGTATTTTATTCAAACATGTCAAATAATTTATGAATTTTTATTCGTTAAAATACAAATATTTTAATATATACATCTAAAAAACATCTAATAATTTAAACTGTATTTGAATACAAATAGGGTGCAAACATGTAGGGTGTAAACTTGTGGTGTGAAAACGTGTTTAGGGAGCGAACGGACATGATACCCTGATCAATAGGTTTAGGAAGATCCTTATAAATGGTTACTGTATTATACCCCGAATCAGATATCAATTTACTGTTGGAAAAAAACAGAACCCCCCTTTTTTTGATGATCAATGCCTTTGAATGGGGACGTATGGTTGGAACCCCCCTGCAATACATGTAGTACAAGTGTTACAAATTCTAAAAAAACTGTAAGGTCTTTTACAACATCATCCATGTATCAAGGTTTATAACTTATTTACAGATTGGAACACCTTACAATATCTGTAAACAACTTTGTTGTTTCTTCCAAATTGCATCTTGGTGATGATTTCCAGAGGTACAAAATGTAGGAGCAGGGTTCTGAAGATTTTTGACGGCAAGTCCAGGGACCCTACAGTGACCATATTTGGCAATGCGAATTTAACAGTGTGAAGAAAAACAGTTATTGCTTTGATTAATTATTTAATTCTCCATGCAACAAAAGAGCAAGGTGATCACTTCAAATTTAGATTAATTTGAATACTTTTGCTATGAAATGAAACAACATTGTACAATCTCAATGCGTCTTAGGGCTCCCTAGTTTATAAAACGATGAATCCAGATTGATTATCATGAGTCCTGAACTCATTCATGGAGTTGTCTTAGTGAGAACCCTGGGTAGGAGGTTCCAATCTTTTTTTATTTGGTAGGAAGCTGAATTGTGAAGTGTCCATATTGGCTGGAATTCTTAGAAAGTGCTGACTAATAATGTGTGTTCTATGATGTTTTCTTAAGTTGTTTAAGATTTTCTCTTGGTATGTATTTTGGCTAGATGTTGTATGTCTTTTCAAATAAAATCAGTCTGTTTAGTATTAGCCTACATGTACATGTACATTTATCTCTATGGGATTCTAGTTAGATTTGGTTGGATTGTTCCTTGAGGGACTCCTAAAAGTACTGCCTAATTGCCAGACTTACCCTCATTTACAACTATGCATTGTGACCTACTAAACAGGAATGAGTCGACCAAGTTCATTATATATTTTTTGTACGCTTTATCAGTAGTTCATATGTCACCATGTCAAATGCTTTTTCTCAGTCTAAAATGAATTTTTTACTTTTTGCCATTGTTAATGGCACATGCCAAATCATGGAGGACATTTATAAATTGAATTTTGCGGCTATGATGTTACTTAATGTGTGTTGTCTATTGTTAAGAATGTTGTTGTTTTGGAAATGCTGCATCAAATATGAACAAATGAATGTTCCAAAAGTTGGCATTAATTACATGTTAGATAAAAATGTTCTATAATAACTTGGGAATATTCTGTCATTTTTCTTAAAAAGTGGACTGACTAAATTGGCAATTTTCCACTCAACTGGTATAGTTCCTTTGCCAATTAGATTGTTGAATGAAGTGAGTCATGACCTCTGAGAGTTTAGTTGCCAGTTCTTGTAGCACTCATGGGTGAATAAAGTCTTATTAATATTAACCCAACGCCTTGTCAGTATTTAGTCCTTTCAGTCTTTTTTCAGATCATTTTTTTGTTGACTGTCTCATTATCTACTTGTGATGGCTGGTGTGGTACAGAATTGTGCTCTGATCTTGTAAATCTACTCATGGTGTTTCTTATAAATTGATGGTTAAGTATCTCAGCCTTATCTAGATCTGTTTTTGCAACTTTGTTTTCTTAAGGGATCTGTTGTTTATGTACTGCCAAAATTGGTTTAGAGTCCTTTTAATATTTCCTATAAGATTGTTTTATAACAGTGGTATTGTGAGCCTCAGTTACTTGATATTTCCTATAAGATTGTTTTAATAACTGTGGTGTTGTGATCCTCAGTTACTTGATATTTCCTATAAGATTGTTTTTATAACAGTGGTATTGTAAGCCACAGTTACTTGATATTTCCTATAAGATTGTTTGATAACAGTGGTATTGTGAGTCTCAGTTACTTGATATTTCCTATAAGATTGTTTTTATAACAGTGGTGTTGTCAGCCTCAGTTACTTGATATTTCCTATAAAATTGTTTAATAACTGTGGTATTGTGAGCCTCAGTTACTTGATATTTCCTATAAGATTGTTTTTATAACAATGGTGTTGTGAGCCTCAGTTACTTCCTTGTTAAGCATTTGACCTATTTCCTGCCATTGTCTATTTAATCTGTTGTTGTTAGTCTTCTTGTAGTGCATGTGTTCTGTTAAGTCTTCATATAAATCGGTAATAATGTTGTTATCAATCGATGGTATTGTAATGACTGTTTACCTTTGGCTGTTTTCGGTAAGTTCTTTTTATATTGTAGATGTTTCCAAGATGACTTTGAAGTTAATAAAAATTAGATATTTTTCCCTTTAACTTCAAATTAGATCTGAATTAAAGTAAGTGGCCTCCAAAAATTCTATTTTTTTAAGCCCAATTAAGTTTTATCCAGATGATTTTTCAGTAATGGTGTCGTCAATGCCTTAAGGCAATATGTTGCCTTTTACGTGATTTTTTTTTGCAATATCAGCAATATCGTGAAATCCAAGGTTTAATTTTTGTATCACTGTAAATTGATACCTGATTTTTGGTATAATACCTATAGCTATAAATGAGGATAATACCCATTAATGAGGATCTTCCCAAACCTTTTCAAGGACACAAAAGTCCAACTAAGAGCATTAAGTAATTGCTGTTTAGGACATAAAACACCCTCTAGATAAATTAGGATGTATGTAAGTCCTTGTCATGATTCAATAATGGTATTTTGTGAAAGGAAAAAAATCATCACAGGTACAAATCTATTTATCCCAAGTCAACCTATAGCCCCATTTGAAAAATAAATTCACTCATGGGTAAATATAAGTAAAAAAGTAGTCTTTAGTAAATGTTTTGTTGAGAATAATTGGAAATCTTAACATATATTTTAACAGACCAACCTGAGTTGAAGCCCAAAACATGCCATATATGTGTCAGAAAATCATGAAGTATTATTTTCATTAAGGATTTTGATAGATTTTACTATAGATTGAAATCCTTGTTTTCATCAATTTGAGCACAGCTTTTACATGGGCTTTAGTCAGAGCTAATAGCATTTAGAATTTTTTTTTTAAACAGCTCAGCCATTGAATAGACTAAAGATCAAAGACAGGGACATTTCATGATAAATATTGATTGTTCTAACTACTGCTTATATTTTGTTTATGATTATAAACATGATAAACACTAATAGCCTTGATGACTTTAAATAAAATCCTAATCAGAAGAAGTTCTCAAGCATAATTAGTCACAAGGATTTCATTCAGGAACATTTTATTGATATCTTTTATTCTCTAATGTTTTTCAACGTGTTCATAGAATATCTTGTTGAATAAACATAATACAAGAATGACCAATTTCCAAAAAAATGAATTTCATTACTCATTATTCCAAACATTATTCAAATACATAAGAAAGAAAAGTCCTGGACACAATAACAAATTCTGTGTTATGCATATAGGATTTTGTCATTCTTAAACCATCTTTCAAGAGTAAGGAATAGGCAAATTTGATTTTAATAGGCTTTTCTGAGGCGCCTGATAGGTTATTTTTGTTCTTCGTGATCGGCGCATTTTCGCTATCGTGATCAGTTTTTCTACAGATTTTTTTTTTATATTTTCGTGATCTGTGATCATGGAAATTTATTTTCTGTGAATCATGATTGACAAAAAAATCAACTCGTGAATCGTGATGAGACCCCCCCCCCCCCCCCCCCATCAGGCCCCTCTTTTCTGCTGCAACTGTAGAAATTTGAATATATGTTTATGCAATTAAACGGCAAGTATCTGATTTCTTTGGCAAATTTGAACTTCTACTTCAATATCTTTAAACATCCACCGCATATATAATTAGTCTTGAAAATGGTGACTGCGGAAAATTAACAGTCTTAAAGTTTTACTGCTAGGAAAGTTGATTCTATAAAAATATTGTGTTATTGCAAGCATTTTTAAATTTTTTTTTCTATCTCAATGAAATATGGTAATCAAATTGTCATGTAAAATTGGATCCATGGAGGGCCATGCTTAACTGATTCAGTTTAATACTGTATTCATCATTGTATAAGGCATTGTACCAGTTAGGATTGAAGGGCAGAAGTTTTGAGATGAAGGGCATGTTCAGTGCTGTGTCTTGTCTGAAATTTTTATCATGTGTTTATAGGTAATGAATTGAAATGATTAACTAAAGTAATGTATTTTTGTTTGAAGAAAGCTTTTTCTGAAGTATAATTTTTTTGCATTGAAATGTATATGTTTACCTCAAAAAACAAAAATGCATATATAGAGCATGTCCATAAAGGCAAAAGGGGTGCACACATAGGGGGGCTGGGCCCTATATTTTGGGCTAATTGGGAACTCTTATTTATATTAAAGATAGTATCTGTTTCATATGCAAAATAACTGACTACATTCAGATTTTAATCTGTTTTAAACCAATACTAATCATCATGACAAATCTATTTTTAGGGTTTTAATGGAAGGCTGGCATTTTCTATAGCATCATGTGTCCTTGGGGCCTCCTTTACATTTGGTTACAACACTGGTGTAGTGAATACAGCTGAAGGGGTAAGTATTGGAGCATCCTTTACATTTGGTTACAACACTGGTGTAGTGAATACAGCTGAAGGGGTAAGTATTGGAGCATCCTTTACATTTGGTTATAACACTGGTGTAGTGAATACAGCTGAAGAGGTAAATATTGACACCTCCTTTACATTTGGTTACAACACTGGTGTAGTGAATACAGCTGAAGGGGTAAGTATTGGGGCCTCCTTTACATTTGGTTACAACACTGGTGTAGTGAATACAGCTGAAGGGGTAAGTATTGGGGCCTCCTTTACATTTGGTTACAACACTGGTGTAGTGAATACAGCTGAAGGGGTAAGTATTGGAGCCTCCTTTACATTTGGTTACAACACTGGTGTAGTGAATACAGCTGAAGGGGTAAGTATTGGGGCCTCCTTTACATTTGGTTACAACACTGGTGTAGTGAATACAGCTGAAGGGGTAAGTATTGGAGCCTCCTTTACTTTTGGTTACAACACTGGTGTAGTGAATACAGCTGAAGGGGTAAGTATAGGAGCCTCCTGTACATTTGGTTACAACACTGGTGTAGTGAATACAGCTGAAGGGGTAAGTATTGGAGCCTCCTTTACATCTGGTTACAACACTGGTGTAGTGAATACAGCTGAAGGGGTAAGTATTGGAGCATCCTTTACATCTAGTTACAACACTGGTGTAGTGAATACAGCTGAAGGGGTAAGTATTGGAGCCTCCTTTACATCTGGTTACAACACTGGTGTAGTGAATACAGCTGAAGGGGTAAGTATTGGAGCATCCTTTACATCTAGTTACAACACTGGTGTAGTGAATACAGCTGAAGGGGTACGTAAAGCTATATACTGTGGATTCATTGAAGTTTGTGGATTGAGGATAAATTGTATTTTCATGGATATTTTATTTAGTGGTTTTGTCAAATAAAATTGAGAATGGAAACGGGGAATGTGTCAAAGAGACAACCACCGACCAAAGAGCAGAAAACAGCCCAAGGCCACCAATGGGTCTTCAACACAGCTAGAAAATCCCACACCGGGAGGCGGGACTCAGCTGTCCCCTAAACAAAAAAGTCTGTTTACAAGCCTACAGAAAATGTGTTAACCTATACCCTAGAAATACATTGACTTGTAACATTGAAAAAGATAATAATCTTCCCTTCGTAACATAAAATTATATGTCACTGTTCACATCTACAAGACTAAAACATTATGCATCAGCCCGTGTAAAAAGAAACCCCAACAATGTGCAACATAAATGTTTTTTTCATTGCATTGCTTCTTCTTTTACTTCTCATACACCAAGACACAATTTATTGCTTGTCAACAGCCTATAATCCAAATATTTTTTGTAGTATTTTCTGGTGTATTGTGTTGATTGATTGCTGCTGCATTGATGTAGACCACACATCTCTTTTTTCATACTTGAAAGTAGAAGTAATTTTCCTACATTAAAACACTGTTCTAATATTTTATATAACATCCTGGTAGACATGTAATTTTGAAATACCATCCTGTTTCTAGAAATTATATCATCACATCCATATAAACACAATCTATAAAAAAATGATTTCAGATAGCATCACATTACATTGTACCATGATGTTAAAAGGCCTTAAGACAAACACTGACTGAAGACATGCAATTTGTGTTGAATAGAAAAAATCACCTGTTACACTAATAAACTACTAATTTATTAGTAATAAACTAATAAGTTACTAACTTCTACGTTATTTGGTCTCTGGAGTAGACTTGTCACATTGGCAAAGATACCACATCTTCATTTATTTTACTGTTTATTGTAAGGTGAAACAGTATTTGTTTATTTTTTCAGGTTATAAAAGATTTTTATAACAGAACTTATGAAAGTCGAGATGGTAAAGCCATGGAACAGAGTACAATGACATTACTATGGAGTTTTACTGTAGCAGCTTTTGCTTTGGGGGGAATGATCGGGGGTTTTAGTGCTGGATACTTCTGTAACAAATATGGAAGGTAATTTACTGTAGCAGCTTTTGCTTTGGGGGAATGATCGGGGGTTTTAGTGCTGGATACTTCTGTAATAAATATGGAAGGTAATTTACTGTGGTAGCTTTTGCTTTGGGGGGAATGATTGGGGGTTTTAGTGCTGGATACTTCTGTAATAAATGTGGAAGGTAATTTACTGTTGCAGCTTTTGCTTTGGGGAGAATGATCGGGGGTGTTAGTGCTGGATACTTCTGTAACAAATATGGAAGGTAATTTACTGTGGCAGCTTTTGCTTTGGGGGGAATGATCAGGGGTTTTAGTGCTGGATACTTCTGTAACAAATATACATGTAGAAGGTAATTTACTGTAGCAGCTTTTGCTTTGGGGGGAATGATTGGGGGATTTAGTGCTGGATACTTCTGTAATAAATATGGAAGGTAATTTATAAAACTTTGATTCGATGGAAATGATATTTTTTAAGTGTCTTTTAGATTAATCAACAATATACTACTACTAGGTGGGTGTTTGATAACAATGACTACCCATGAGGGTCTCGCATGGTTATTCAACAATATTATAAAGAAGCATGTAGACTGTAAGCTACCTTTAAATGTAATTGTGCAAAAATATTCAATGCTCTTTACTTTTCATTGATTTATTAATCAAAACATTTCATGTGACCATAAAAATCCATGTAAAACTTAAAATAAGATAACTTCCCAGTCTGCTGATATTTTTACAATCAATGATTATTTTGTTTCAGAAAAGGGACATTACTGAGAAATAATTTATTAAATTTACTAGGAGGATTATTAATGATGTTTTCTGACAATGCCAAGTCTTATGAGATGTTGATAGCTGGGAGACTTGTGATTGGAATATGTGCAGGTATAGATTAGAATTTATATGACCTTAAGTAATTCATGCTCACATTGCAGTGGGAGAACTATGCCATCTCTTTCTATAGACCAAAGGTTTCAAGGTAATCTTTAAAAAAAAAGTTTTAATTATATTGTTGATAATTTGAGTCAATTTACTATTTCTGAAAGTTGAGAAATATTTTTATTTGTACACAAAATGGCTTCTGCCCTAAAATAAAAATAACCTTGGAAATAATATTTGCAATGAATTGAAGAACCTGCAATTTCTGATAAAATGTATCCTCCAAAAAAACAATCTTTTTAAACTGAAGACCTCATTCACATTAGGCCTGTGTTTGGTTTATGCAGGTTTAATAGCTATAGAATGTTTGATATCTTTTATATTACAAGTGATCAGTTTCAGTTTGATTCCTGCTTTTCCATTCTTCAATTCTCTATTGATAAATTTAGAAATTATTTTAAAAGAGACCAATGTTCAAACTCCCTTTGGCAAAGATGACCTTCAATGGATATGACTATTCTTATGACACATAGGTACCCATTTGGTCTTATAACTCCACTTGTTTTTAAGTATTGATACATTGTTTGCTTTTAAATTGTTGGGTTTGTGGGTCCCTGGTGAAGGTATATCCAGAAAAGAGTTTTGGATGCACAAAATTTATAAAGTATTTTTTAAAAATTTTCATAGTTTATTTTGACAGGTTTCACTGTATTTGTTTGAATAAGAATAATTCTTGTTGTTTTAAATCTAGAAATATGACATTAAATGTTTGTTTTGTAGGTATATTTACTGGAGCTGCACCTCTTTACCTGTCTGAGATTGCACCCATATCTCTTCGAGGATTTGCTGGCGTGTTCAACCAACTAGCTATAACTTTTGGAGTGATGATATCTGAAATACTTGGATTACAGTTTATATTAGGGACAGCTTATTATTGGAAATATGCTGTAGGTCAGTATGTACTATACATGTTATAATTTGTCATGTCTTCACCTTTTTTAGCCTACTATATGGTAAAGGTTTTGCTCACTGTTGAAGGCTGTACAGTGACCTATAGTTGCTTACCTCCTTTAGTCTCTAGGGGATAGTTGTCTCATTGGCAGTCATACCATATCTCTTTATTTTTAAGCTAGATAAAAATTATCATATCAGACACATGTTAAGAATCCAATTGTAACTTAAATTCATCATTGAACGTTACGTTTTTTAATAGGATGCTTTCTTAAAAAGTAATTTACATATACGGTTTACGTTTACGGGACGTATTATGGTATACCATTGTCCGTCCGTCTGTCGTCAACATGTCGGACAATAACTCAAAAACACTTAAACCAATTTGCATGAAACTTTGGTGAATTGTTAACATCTATTGACGTGAGCTCCCTTTTGATTTTTATAAATTTTAGATTTTACTTTTCCAAGTTATGGGCTTTTATTCATTAAAAAAGGGGGATTTTCCAGTTTTTGGACAATAACTGAAAAGTGCTTTGAGCAGTTTTCATGAAACTTTAGTGAATTGTTTATATCTATTGACGTAAGCTCCCTTTCGATTTTTATAAATTTTAGACTTTATGTTTCTGAGTTATGGGATTTTATTCTTAAAAAAAAGGGGGATTTTCCAGTTTTCGTACAATAACTCAAAAGTGCTCCAGTTTTCATGAAACTTTGGTGACTGCTTTATATCTATTAAATAAACCTCCCTTTAGTTTTTTTTATAAATTTCTGATATGACATTGAGGAGTTATGGAACTTTATTCTTTAAAAAAGAGACGGGTGTATCATGCACTCATGGGGCAGCTCTGTATTAAGCATTCCTGGCTTTTTAAATGTTAAGGTTTGAGGGTTCTTGGTAAAGGTAAATCCAGAAAAACACTTCGGGTGAAACTAATAATGTGTTTATTTCATCAGCTAAAGTATTATTCATTTATACATAACATATATATGCCTGTCAAGTTACAGAATATACAGAGTTATATTTAAATGAAAAATAAAAAAAGAAAAAGGAGATTAAATTTATATCAAACAAAAAAGTATAAAACAAAAATGATACATATATCAATATTGTTGCAAGCAAAGTGTACTTGAAGTAAGGAAACTTTATACCACAGATAGACTTCTCTGTAAAGTATCAAAATTACACTACAAAAAGAGAAGCCCTTTCTCCGTTTGATTCTGAAGTTTTGTGAACCTTGAATCAGTTTTACCACTGCAGATTTTTTTTTTAAATAATTATCTCCCGTGAAAAAAAATAAGATGTAGTAGAGTTATTTCCCATTTTGTGTATAAGTATACATATCTCATTTGTTTGTTAACATTGTACAAATATTGTTACCAAATTGAATTTGCCTGAATTGACATTGCCTGAATGGGTATATAATGAAGAACATTCTATTTATTATAAGGTTAATAAGGAATCACTAGTACATGTACTGTTTGTTTTATATAAAAATGGAAAAACATTGCTATTGGGATACTATGAAGTTGATCAGAAAATATGATAATAATCTGCATAGGATTGCCTTTCCTTATAAAGGACCTCCTAGAATTTTGTTTTAAGCCTTGCCCAGTTTTCTCACAAAGTATAACAAAAATAATGAAATCCAAGGTAAATTCAGAAAAGGGAAGTCCACAAAAACTGACATTATCAACCAACAGAACGAGTGGAAAACAACTTTCATATTCCTGACTTGGTACCTTTTAAAGTAATACACTTGTGATACCTATTTTATACAGTAATTGCAGTATTATATTTTATAGGTAGTTGTCGTTTGTTCATGTGGTTCATAAGTGTTTCTCGTTTCTCGTTTTTTATATAGATAATACCTTTGGTTTTTCTGTTTGAATGGTTTTACACTAGTAACTTTTGGGGCCCTTTATAGCTTGCTGTTCGGTGTGAGCCAAGGCTCCGTGTTGAAGACCGTACTTTGACCTATAATGGTTTACTTTTATAAATTGTGACTTGGATGGAGAGTTGTCTCATTGGCACTCATACCACATCTTCTTATATCTATAACTATTGTTCCCATATGTTTACAGTTATGTCATTAAGCCTCACCAAGTCTGGTCAAATTTATAAAGTAATACACTTGATATTCTAACTTAGTACATTAGTGACAGTATTTTATTTTGTGATATTCTAACTTAGTACATTAGTGACAGTATTTTATTTTGTGATATTCTAACTTAGTACATTAGTGACAGTATTTTATTTTGTGATATTCTAACTTAGTACATTAGTGACAGTATTTTATTTTGTGATATTCTAACTTAGTACATTAGTGACAGTATTTTATTTTGTGATATTCTAACTTAGTACATTAGTGACAGTATTTTATTTTGTGATATTCTAACTTAGTACATTAGTGACAGTAATTTATTTTGTAGGTATGACTATTGTACCCATGTGTTTACAGCTATGTACTTTAATTTGGTGTCCAGAAAGTCCAAGATATCTCATGTTGTTAAAAAGTGATGAAGAATCTGCTGAGAAAGGTAAATCTTAGTCTCTCTTCATTCTTTTACATGAATATAAAGATAAGAGGATGTGGTATGATAGCTAATGAGACAACTCTCCACAAGAGACCAAATGACACAGAAATTAACAACTATAGGTCACTGTACGGCCTTCAACAATGAGTAAAACCCATACCGCATAGTCAGCTATAAAAGCCCCCAAAATGACAAACATAAAACAATTCAAACGAGAAAACAAACGGCCTGATTTATGTACCGCTACAAAATAATGAAGGAAAAACAAATATGATATACAGCAACAAACAACAACCACTGAATTACAGGCTCCTGACTTGGGACAGGCACATACAGAATGTGGTGGGGTTAAACTAGTTTGAAGGCACACCAAAAGTACAACATCAGAACAAACTATAAAAATCAGTTGAAAGGGCTTAACTCATCAGATCGATACAAAGCAGAAATACATCTAACAAAAACACAGAGTGGACGTGGCAAGGTACTTATACATCCCCACAACAAAAAGACATTAATAACAGATCTGAGAGTACTGACAGTTACTGACAGCTAGATCAAAGCCAATATCAACTAATAAAAGAAATCATGCATCTAAGACTAAAATACACTGTATTGTATTACATCAACAAACTTTATACACTGTAAATCCATGATATACAGTCAAACCTATATTAAGCAGTCACTCATGGGAAGAATCAAAAGTGACCACACAAGAGAGGTGACCTTTTAAAAGAGGTTCTCAAAAATTCTGATCCAGACATTGCCCATAGCCGGGATTGCGGCTAATTGTTTTAGTGTTTTCAATCGATCGAGTTATCATTAATACATTTGATCTAGCATAACATTATTACTTAAAGTCATTTTGCAGTGAAATGGAACAGTAATTGATGTTTGGTATGCAGTTAACTCAGGGGACAGGGCCAAATAATATCAATGGAAATGAGATGTACTAATGCTAACACATTTGCATAACTGCATACCAAATATCATTGACTTACTATTACTGGTTCCCCAAAAATTGACATTTATCCAGTCAAAGCATTAAATTACCAATCACTTACCCCTGTATACTTCATTTGCACTGATAGCAGTGTTACATGTTTTAGAAAGTCACTTTCTACAAGAAATCTGATAATAATATTTATTTTGATGTTATTAAATCTGGTTTGTGTTTAAAGAATTATGGTGGCCTTGTTTTAATTTGTGGAGGTAGTTGGAGAACCTAGAAAAACCATGACCTTCTAGGAGGTGTTTAACCTTGGGTAAGAAAACTTGCAATCATTGGAACACAGCTTGTCAAAGTGGGGTTTGAAATCATAACCTTAGTGGAGACAGGCAAGTGATCACTGTATATGAACAACTTGGACCACTTGGCCATCAAAGTCCCAAAATTACAAAGATGCTTTGCCAATGTGATTAAACATGTTGAATTGTTAACTTTTTATACATTGTGACTTGGATGGAGAGTTGTCTCATTGACACTCATACCACATCTTTTTATTTATATTGACATAAAATAGATATACATTGTAATGTATTCTTTTGGTATCACTTCAGTAGTGTTCCTTGTTTTAATGCTGTAAAAAACAACTGTAGAATTCCAAAACAGGTATCCACCCTCACAAAACCATCCCTTAAATGTGTCTAGTCACTTGTCCAAAACAAAACAAAAATCTTCAAAATATTAGAACTGTGATTGAACTCTATATTTCTGTTAATACACATGTATTTAAAATATTTAAATGACTATATAAAGTCTAAAAAAAATTATGTAAAATGCAACAGAGCTAATAAAAAAAAATTTCTTTAGGCACATCCTTGGGTAATGTTCTATATCTTTAAGTCTGATTAAGAGTTGCTCTTATGAGAGACTATTACCAAATATTGCACTGTTGAAGAGATTTCCAACCCCTTAAACATTTTCATACCTGATGAAATTTATATATGCATGTTTGTGAAAATTTCATCAATATCATATAAAATAGTGTTATTTGGAGTTGATTTAGCAAACCCAACCTTCTAATGGCTCTCATAGTTTTGATTTATAAAAAATGCACAAAAAATCTCTGGATGCACTCAGATTTTGAAACATGAAAAATATATCATGGAGGTTCCTTCAGAGGTAATAAAGATGACCTAAATTAATCCTTCAGAGATGATTGGCCAACCATTATGCTTGAATTTGAAATTTGAAATTTGAAATCAAGTCTAGCAATATGAACCTTCAGGTTTTTAGAGTTTTCTATACCTGAAAATTGTCAGTCTTCATTAAAATAATTGAATTAATTTCATTTATATATGAAATTAAGAAAATTGCTACTCACAGTTCTCATATTAGATGTGAAAAATTGCAAATTACTAGTAAGACAATAAGGAACATTGTAATTGTTGAAACTTTTGGTAGATGTCCAAAGACATTGTCATTGAAAAATATTCACTTATAACTTACATAACATTTTTGTCAACATTAATATTATTCAGATTCTTGATGATTAATCAATGAACTATGTTATTATACTGGACTATGGTCTAAACATCTTTTAATCACTATTTAAAAGAATTTATGAACTCAAGTGAACTCACAATTTTTTTATCAGAATAGCATCAATATTAGTTCACCATTGATGAAAGTTCAGGGATAAGAATTAAAAATGTTCATTTACAAAAGATTTTATCACAGTTCAGCTCAATTATTACTCAATCAGAGTTCAATTATTACTAAAACAGTTATAACAGTATTCATCAGAGAAATAAGTATGGCTCTTTACAAAATGGACTGAACTGCTTAGGAAGAAACTATTTTAGTCCATATTTTAATGCCTACATATTTTAATGGACTGAACCGTATAGGAAGAAACCATTTTAGTCCATAATTTAATACCTACATATTTTAATGGACTAAAGTAAAATAATTGTGTGGTACAAAGTATGACGATATACATAAGTACAGAGTCGCGTCAAATGTATATCACAAAAAACAGACTCAACAGTAAAAGTAATATTAATAAATAAAATAATTTTGTCGTTCAAAGTATGACGGGATACATAAGCACAGAGTCACGTCAAATGGATATCTAAAAAATACCCAGACTTAACAATAAAAGTAATATTAATAAAGATGAATAAAAGAATACTATAACACGTTATTAAGATGATAAACAACGTCAGTACGCAAAATCTATACTTCAAACCATCGTGTATTATTTGTGAAGTTGATACGGAATATTTATCAACAAGGTCTTGGTACCTGCCGATGAACTTTTTTAGGAAAAGGAGGAGACGTTCTTTGACATACCCCTGGTTCATCAACTTTCTGCTCAGACACTGGTGATGTTTTACAAAGTCTGAGTAGGAGCTGCAAGCTCTTGAATACCGAATAAGTTGGGAAATGTGTATCCCATATGCAGGTGAAGTTGGTATATTGCTACTAAGGTGGGGTAAATTGATAATTTCAAAATTAAAATCGTCTCGTTTGTCATAGATTCTGGTACTGAGATGACTGTGTATGTCAAATTCAAGGTATAAGTCTAAAAATGAGGTGGAGGAAGCCGTGTCTGTTGTTTCTTTAATTTCTAGTTCTGGTGGATATATTAATGGAACCCAATCAGAAAAGTTCAGATTGGTAATTGGAAAGAACATCATCAATATATCTGAAAGTGAAATTAAATAACCTGGCTTCTTTGATCTTCTTGTTTTTGACAAGAATGATTGGCAAAATTAATAGGATGGAAAAATACAAAGAACACATTCAAAATTTAAAAAGGGCTCTTGTTTCCTAATCCCAATTATAGAATTACTTTTATATTTCGTATTTATGTATTTACTCTTGTAGCTATACATAATGAATTCATTAATAAAATATGTTTACACTAAAAAATCCAATCATTTACCAAGATAACGATACACAAAATTGGCAATCAAAGTATAGAGACTGACGGTCAATGACTATAATGGTAAATGAAAATGACTACAAATAAAAAACAATTTTACCTTTGTATGTTTAAAAATAGATCTGTTTTAATTATTAGTATAAATGTTTTAGTATTAAGGTTAGATGAAGAAAATCATAAGTTTTACAACAGTTCAAATTTACACTTTTTGTTAATCCTTTAACTAGACATTGATTTGTGTTTAATTTTCCTATTTTCTTAAAAGAAAGAATACAACAGTAGTACTTATTATCCCTGAAATTTGTAGCAAAAAATAGCACTATCAGACAAGAAGTAATGCTATATAATGCCAATGTAATGCATTACATTACAACTACATGTAATGCAAAAAATTTGGGCATTACACATTACATGCATTACTTGGGGAAATGTAATGCATTACAGGGCATTACAATTACAAATTAGCATTCATTATCCCATGCCTGGAGACTGTTGCTTTCCTTCATCAAATTATAGAGACTGTTGCTTTCCTAATCATTTGTACTGCTTCTTTTAACACAAAACAAATTTAATAACACCAAAATAAACAATTATTGTCAGATGTTTTGTAGAAAGTAAAAAAAACATGTAACATTGTTATCAGTGCAAATGAAGTATATAGGCGTAGACAATTGGAAATTAAATGCTTTGACTGGATAAACGTTTAATATTGATACATTTTATATAGTTATGATAATTTGTCTTTTTGAGTTTATTAAGAGATATATTAAGATGAAATGGTACAAAAAAAATTCAAACTAAAATAAAAGACAAAAGAGACAATTTCAAGTTTGTCTTCACAAACTTCCCTTTTTGGACAAAGATCTTCGGGGTGCATACATTACACAACTTGTATGTATCCTACTAAATGTTCTTATGAAACTGACTTTAGGAACGTTACTTTGCATTAACACAAGGATATTTTTTACAGCATTTCATATACCACAGACTTTTGAATATATATATTCAGAATATTTACAGTACTTGTCAGCATCTTATCAAAAAACAGAATGTATCTTGTAAAAATTAATATTCAATAGTATTTCTCACAATATCTTTTATTGCAATTACTTTAAAAGAACATGGGCTTTGCTCATTGTTGAAGGCCGTACGGTGACCTATAGATGTTAATTTCTGTGTCATTTGGTCTCTTGTGGAGAGTTGTCTCATTGGCAATTATACCATATCTTCTTATTTTTATAAAACACTGAAAATTGATGAACTAGTAACTAAACTTGGAAAATATCAGCTTTTTTCTCGTTAACAGGGGCTAAAATCATGGTAGACTCACTAATAAGTTAAAATGGTTTCTTTCTTTCGATGATCTGACGTTTTTTAGATACTTACTGCACCTCTCACAAACACTTTGAATTTCAATTAAGTTTTAAGAAGAGACATCATGAAACCTATTAAAAGTGTACATGCTATTTCTTGTTTTTTTTTGTTTTCTTGAGAAGCAGTATCTATCCAACAGATTAAATATAAAAGAAATAATGCTGGATTGGTGTTTATGTTCAGTGGCAAATATAACATGCATATCAGGACGAGAACATTTTAAGGCGATATGAATATAAACCTTGCTTTATACTACACGGACATGCCAAGCCAGATTTTTAAGATACCTGCATAACTTCAAGATATCTCACCCCAACATTATTCTTATTTCAAGCTGACCAGTTTTTCATTACACTTTATGCCACATGCTTAGCAGAGAAGCAGCATATACCAATTTAAAAGTCTTTGGTTTTACCTGGTTGAGGATAGAACCAACGTCTTCCCACACTTAAGGCATTTTAGTTTAGAAAGAAATATTTTTTTTCAGTGGTGAATTGAAGATGAGATACTATTGATTAGTTGTTGAGCTTTGTTAATTTTGGTTTAATTTTATGTGTAAAGTATATGGCTTGTCTCAGCAGTCTGTTTTACTCCTTGTACAATTTGCAATGTTTTATTTCAGCATTGAAATGGTTAAGAAATAAAGTAGATGTGTCTGATGAAATAGAAGAAATGAGAATAGAAGGCGAAAGAATGAGAAAATCTAAAAAAGTGAGCTTTTATAATATTTTGACACTACTTTACAATAATGCAATAAATCATGTAAATTGCAACATATCAGATATTTTGATTATATATGTATTAGATGTAAGCTCCAAAGATATGGGAGGATTACATATGATTTACATAGAAGTAATAAATAAATATTTTATCTTTTCTCTTGTTTTTAAAAGAGCAATTAGTTTTGATAACAAAGGAAAAGTGTCGTTATCTCAAATTTTACAGATGCTGTACTTAACAATTTCATGAGATGTTTTGTAGTAATGGATTTGAAATGAAAACACTTTCTTGAGATGTTTTGTAGTAATGGATTTGGAATGAAAACACTTTCATGAGATGTTTTGTAGTAATGGATTTGGAATGAAAACACTTTCTTGAGATGTTTTGTAGTACAATGTAATGGATTTGGAATGAAAACACTTTCATGAGATGTTTTGTAGTAATGGATTTGGAATGAAAACACTTTCATGAGATGTTTTGTAGTAATGGATTTGGAATGAAATCTTAATTGGGTCTATTTTTCTGTCATCAAATTGATACCTTATCACTGCTTTTGTATGGCAATATGAATCGCTGTTCTATCTTATCTTTTTCTGGTTTAATTGTCAAATTCTGAACTTTTTGCTTATAAATGATAACACTTCTATGCAAATTTTAAATTAGTGGCACAATATAAACAGTATTGGAAATATATCCAAATAGTCTAGAAGACTTTCACATTCATGCATATTCCTGTACATATCCAATATCACAATGCTTATGTTATTACGTCACAGAAAAATTCCATTGACAACCTGCATAACTCATGCATAAAATGGAACTTGAAATTGGACTATAGTTATTAAAAGACTTTAAAATTGGTAATTGCTACTACTCTTCAGTAAGCAACCAGCATGTTGGAATGGGCAAAGACAAAATGCATGGAATAATGCATTTGGGTTAGGGAACATGTCCTTCTTTTGATTTGATATGGCCACCAATGAGACATCTATCAATAGATCAAAGTACAAATATGCATATTTAAAATCCATATCAGCATAGTGACCTTGTACAAAGAAGGGTATTTTTATGGGATTATATTTTTATGGGATTTATATTTTATCATTTTGAATATGCAAGCTGCAGCAGCAGATTTTCAACAGAATGTTCAGCATGTATTAAATGAAGTCTGAGAATAGCATTTATATGATACATAGCATACACTTATGACTTATACCATTTTGAATAATTTTTAGTGTGATTTATTTTTAGTTCTCCATCACAGATTTATTTCATCATAAAGAGTTATTAACACCATTAATAATTGGTTTGGTGATGCAGCTTTCCCAACAATGGGGAGGTATAAATGCTGTAAGTATTGGTATACTTATAAGTTGATTTTAACATCTGAAGATAATATGATCTAAAAAATGTAGAGGATTTTATCTTAGTTTACGTACTTTACTATAATTTGTCTTTGGGATGACAGATTAATCCTAAGTATGTTAAACAAAATAGAAGTCCAGAAAAAGAGTTAACTATCTGTTGATTTGGGACTGTATTACCCACAGTTATTAGACACAAGATTATAACAAATAATCAAACATAACTAAATTACAGGCAATAGAATGTATTTCTTATGCTTGAGGCTTTAACCTTAACTGTATATGTGATTTGTAGGTGATATATTACTCCACTGAAATTTTTGAAGGAGCAGGACTTTCTAAAGCAAGTGCTCAGTATGCAACAGTTGGAGTGGGAGGAGTTAATGTTGCCATGACATTTGTATCAGCCCTGATCATGGATAGGGCTGGAAGGAGAACTCTACATTTGATTGGTTTAGGTGGAATGTTTGTAGGTTCTGTGGTGCTCACAATAGGTTTAGAATATCAAGTAAGTTGTAGACATATATATAGATCCTCACATTTTTACATACCGGTACATATATCTCTAAATATCAATCACAAGTCACAGAGTGAAGCTTGAATGGCAAGTGGGCACAGCAAAAAAAATTCTTATTGTGTAGATCTGTTTTTAGATTAAACTATCTTTATGCTGAAAAGTGATTTTCCATTTATGGTATTGGATTTTAGTGTTTTCATTCTCAAAGGCATGGTTTTTTAGCTCACCTGGCCAAAGGGCCAAGTGAGCTTTTCTCATCACTTTGCGTCCGTCGTCGTCGTCATTAACTTTTACAAAAATCTTCTCCTCTGAAACTACTGAGACAAATTTTACCAAACTTGGCCACAATTATCATTAGGGTATTTAATTTAAAAAATGTGTCTGATGACCCTGCCTTCCAACCAACATGGCCGACATGGCTAAAAATTGAACATAGGGGTAAAATACAGTATTTGGCTTATATCTCTGAAACTGAAGCATTAAGAGCAAATCTGACTTGGGGTAAAAATGTTCATCAGGTTTAGGTCTATCTGCCCATTAAATTTTCTGGACAAATCAGACAACCCATTGTTGGGTTGCTGCCCTGAATTAGTAATTTTAAGGAAATTTTGCAGTTTTTGGTTATTTTTAATATTATTTTAGATAGAGATAAACTGTAAACAGCAATAATGTTCAGCAAAGTAAGATCTACAAATAAGTCAAAATGACCAAAATCGTCAATTGACATCTTATTGGAGTTATTGTCCTTTAAAGTAATTTTCTGCAATTTTTTGGTAATTTTTGTAAACTTTTTTCAAAAATCTGCTGCTTTTAATTTAACTACTGGGCCAAATTAAACCAAACTTGGCCTCAATCATTATAAGGGTATCTAATACTATTTATTATGATTTTAACCTTATTAAACATGATTTCCAAAACCACAGTAGATACAGGTGAGCGACACAGGCTCTTGAGAGCCTCTAGATAGTTAATGTTTCTGAGCCTGAGCTTGTTATTGTTGGGTCAATACATAATGCTGTCATTACTAAATCTAGTTCATATATGATTTTCAGAAGTTCTGAACCAAATAATAAAGGGAAATACATTGATATTAGTTACCTATCTTTAGTACCGGGGTAAATTGATTTGATAGAAATGTATAATTTAGCTAACTGAATATAAATATTATCTGCTTCATAATGTTTGATATTGTTCTGTTGGAACTAACTGTTACATGAATTGACTGTAAGCCGTATAAATGTCCACTAATGTTATGAAGGTTCAACTCCTATATCCTCAAACATTTATACAAAAGTAGAACACTATGATGATGGGCATGAATCAAAATGATTTTGGTAAGGCATTTTGAAAGGGCAAAAACTGAATTCAAATATTGAAGATGAATTTGAGGGGCATGTCATATTTAAGTGTTGTTTTTGGAGTAGATTGGGATTTGTTGAAATGTAATGTAGTATTTAAAAAAATCTGAGACTTCTATCAAGACTGCAGAGTCTTGAATTAAAGATTTGAATAGAAACCTTCATGTCACAAAATCTTATGCTGTTGTTCAAGAAAGTCAAACTATATTTTTGACATAATTGGCGGTGTAAGTGAGCTATGATAAAGTTCTTGTTAAACTTTGGATAATTATTGGATGACAATAATATCATGAGATCTAACATTTAAGATGATTTTACAAATAAAACTGGTCTTCATACTTTTAAAACTACATTCAATGCTTCTTATTGCTATTTTGTGTAATTTTTTCTTTGATCTTTTTTGTGATAATTTTTCATATCAGAGATAGAAAATTATCGCTAGAAACTAAGGGCACATGTGCCATTATCAATGTAAACATCAACGTCATAGGCAAAATAGCAATAAACAGATTATCAATGGTCTTTCAAACTCGAGGATGTTTCTCTGCCATATCCCACCTCAGGGCTGTCACTCTTTGATGAGATTGTAGCTGAGAAACACCCTCTCGTTTGAAAAACCATTGATAATCTATAATTTTCTCAATAAATTAATTAATATATAACAATGTAGTTGAGAATAACCTTGAAAACTCACATACTAAGTAATTTAGTTAGGAACTTTATTGAAATAAAGGCCAAACTCTGGTCTATCTTCAATAGGCCCCTTCACGATTAATGCAGCCATATTCAATATGGCTGCAATAACCCACAATAACCGTGAAAGGGCCTATTACAGCATGAATGTATAAAAAACAAAATTAAATATCAAAAATCAGTACAATGAACTACAAAATGTTTGAGGCACTTGGAACAATATTCATCAGATCTTTGAAGAAAAAAATTTAAAATGATGTTGTATCCCACATTTTTTGTCCACACTTATAATCTAGGAAAAATATTAAGAATACAAAAACCATAACAAGATGTAGAATAGATACTGTTACATTGATTGCAATGAAATACTGTAATTTCCCAGTAAAATAAAAACTGATAATTTCACATTTGAAATAAATTTGATAATTTCACTCCTCTGACATCAATACAAAAATAATGTTGTCGAGACATGGTGAATTAGGTTTTTTCTATATTTGAATCACATTTTTCACAATATTTATTTTTGATTTACAGTCACACCATAAGTGGTTATCCTACCTCTGCATCGTAGCTGTTGTGCTGTATATTATATTCTTTGCCACTGGACCAGGTAAGATTCTATGATTCTAAATTCAATGTTGAAGGTCATCCGTGTCTCATTTGACAGTGAAATATTTTTTTAACTTGTAGAGTATTACAAGGCAAACATTCACTTAACATTAAAAAATGTGTCTAGATGAAGCATATAGACATTATATATTAAAAGCAAATGTGAATACAAACAAAAGTCTGCATGGACTGGTTATCAAAGCAATAACTAAATATTTTTGAATATTACCATGAATCTCAATACACCTTATTGCTATTTATTCCATTCGGGATAAGTTTTGAAATTACATAACTTTTTCATTATGTCACAAGCCAGTTGAAGTTTAAAAAATGTATTGTGCAAAGAAATTTTCAGAGAGACATGTTTAAACCATTGTAAACAATTCAAAGAAAGTATAGTTATGACTAACTTGTGCTTAACAAATTGGATCATAAAATATCAAAATCTCAAAATGTTCACTTTCTAAAGTTTTCCAGATTAAACTTAATAGCGATAAGGTGAATATGGCATGGATACATAATGTCAGTAGTGTAGCAGGAAATTCTGATCATTCTGGAGCACATGAGTTCACCTCAGGTTTTTGACGGGGTTTGTGTTGATCAATCTAGTTTTCTGTGTATTATTTTGTTGACTGTTGTTTTCTTTTAGTCTTTTTTCTTTTGGCCTTGTTGTTATCTTTTTTCTTCAACATATGGTTTTGATTGTCCTCCTGAAATGATCTTTTTTTCTCCCAATGAGTGACTTATTCCACATAACCAGATACAAATGAATCAATTGGTGTTCATCCAGATTTGATTTTTTGATTTGATACACATGGCTGCAGTACAACATAGGTTTGTTATGGTCTGTAACTTTTTGTATTTTTTCAAAAATAGTTACATGAATTTAAACTTTTTAAATGACCAGAATATTAATTAAAAGGTTAATTTTGAATTACATTTTCAATTACCGGTAAGTGTAAATTATTTTTAATGGCAGTTTACACAGACACTTGTCTCTTTAAGTTATTTTTATCTATATACCGTAATATAACACAAGGTACCCAACTTGCATTTTTGAGAAATCCCAATAAAATTTGAAAAGGGGTAAATCTACATTGAATTATCTACAAAATGATGTATGACATGCTAACTTCTGTTGTTGGAATCATTCGTAGTAGGCCTTCCAAGTAGGTTAATCGTAAATTATTTTTTCTTTTTTTATTTTTTATAACATTATAACTTCTGGATGCATGATACTAGAAAAAATGACAAGTTATAACTTCTGAATGTTTGTTGTGTTTAGTCTCTGTTTGTGTGTCTGTTTTTTCGGAGGAGTTGCATGTTGGTAGTTAATGTGATTTGTTGTTTTGTGCTGTAATTTTGTCAATTCCTTTGATCCTTTTTTATGTATTTACACTTGCAATTAGAATAAACCAGTGACTTCCATTTAATCGGTCAACAGTCAATTATTTCATCCTAACATAATATTTTATAACTGATTTATCTTTCTTAAACAGGTTCCATTCCATGGTTTATTGTAGCAGAATTATTTGACCAGCAGTCAAGGTCAGCAGCTGTGAGTTTAGCTGTTCTAACCAACTGGTTTGCTAATTTTTGTGTGGCATTAGGCTATCCTGAAATGAATGTAAGTTTTATTAGAAAGTTGGTCAGAGGTTGAAAATTGTAAATGCATGGGAAGAATGAAAAAATAAAATAAATACCAATTAAAATTATACACACACTCCAATTAAGGGATACACTGTTTATTCCTTCTTTCTTTTTTCTGTGTATCCCAGGAATTTTTGTCACTCTTTATACATATGAACTTCAAATCAGGGCTCTCCGTCATTAAACTTTACTCAGTACTGGGAGTACAAAATTTGTGCTCGAAACACCAAATCCAGGATTTTGATTGGTTGATTTCTGAGTCTGAGTACAAAAATCGTGCATGAAAGTTTTATGACCGCAAGGCCTGACCTTTTGGAAGTTTGGTATCTCACTTCATGTGAGCATGGTATATTGTGTGATTCATTTGTTGTAACTCTACTCTTCCTGTTTAACCATGAATGAAATTTTCGTCACATTTTTCACAGGAACTATAAAACAGGGATTTCTGAAATTTAGAATCAAGCTTCATGTGAACATGCAATATAGAAATTATATCTGTATGTTATTTTTCCAAATGTTAAGAATGATAAGAAATTCACTATTTTGCATATAGAGAAATACTTTGGTTCATGATGTTTACCAATTTTCTTGGAATTGAAAATGGAATTGGGAAATGTGTCAAAGATACAACAACTCGACCAAAGAGCAAAAAAACAGCCCAAAGCCACCAATGGGTCTTCAACACAGTGAGAAAACCCCGCATTCAGAGGCAGGCTTCAGCTGGCCCCTAAACCATTATGTATACTAGTTCAGCCAAAATGGATATCACACTAAACTCTGAAACATATAAAAAACTGTTTTCATGTAGATACTCGATTCCATGCATGGCTTTAACAAATCCTACATATAAGCCTATCAAAATATTGTATTTCCTTGAAAACTAAAATTCAAAAGTCAACAAACACCTGCAAAATCCACGAAAACAAGTAGCAAACAAAAATAATAAATTCACAGTAAACAAAACTGTCTGTTTTCACCTTTTACCTCAGAAGTTTCAGCCTGCACACATGGATGTGGTCTAAATGTCTCGCATACTGGAAATTACAAAGCAAAGAAGGTCTAGAAATTGAAATGAGAGAAACAAGTCTTAGAATAGACCAAAGCTAATCAAATTGACACAGACTTTTTACTATTTTTCTCAAGCAATGTATTTATGCAAATGTTGCCAGTGGAAAAAAACATGCATATAAATCTTTATGGATAATGTCAAACTTAAACCTTCATTTAAATGAATATATCAACAATTAAAAATAAATAGCTACATAGTCAGTTAGAAAATGCTAACATGAGAAAATTATCCACAAAAATAAGTTGGATTATATTTTCTTTCAGACACATCTAAAACAGTTATCTTTTGTGCCTTTTGTGTGTCTTCTGTTCTTTTTCTGGTTGTTCACATTCTTCAAAGTACCAGAGACCAAAGGTAGAAGTATTGAAGAAATTAGACAGATGTTTCAACAGCCAATAAATGTCTCATCAGATGATGGAACAGTTCAACGTGGGGGCAAAACTAAATATACCCTAATACCAACAGATGAACCTCCAGTAACATAGGATTGAAAAGTTTAGTTACAGTTATAATATAAAACAATTGAATTTTCAACTGTTATTCATTTTTATGGGTGTGGTAAGTTAAGTTTTGTTAGTAGTATTTTTATCAAGGTTTGGTTGGCAAATGGTTTGTCACAGCATGTTTGGGGGTATTTAATTCTTTTTATTTTTGCTTGTTTTTTTCTTTCACTTTTCTTGTCCCAAAACTAATTTCAGCAAATGGTGAAAATATCTAGAGTTAGAGTCATGCAGCTATTTAATTATGATTTCTTTCCTGTTTGACCAAAATTTATCCTTAGCATCAGCAAGTTTGTTGGAATACATTCATATTGTATTCTTAGACAGACCCCATATAGAATCAGAAAACATTTTCATAATTAGAGAAAGAATCTCTAATTATTGATTACGAACAACTAGCATAAGAACTAGACTAAGGAAAGATACAGTTAATTAGATCAGTTTGAATTAATATGAATAGACATACTGCAAATGAATTCATTACAAATGTAATACTGGCCAGTACAATGTATTCAATTTTGGAATAGTTTCAAATGCTTTTGCATTATCTGAAATGCTTTTCATGGTTTTGGGTTGAAAAATTTGGTTTTTGGGATATATTTTGTAATATATATTTAAGGCAATGTCACAAGTTAGTTTATTAAACTATTAGACTATTGTTAAAGACAGTATTTTGACCATCAGATGTCCCTTGTTTTTGTTATGTTGTTTGGTTGCTTACTCATTAACATATACCCAACATCATATTTTATTTATATATGATGTTGGCTGGTAATTATATCAGTGAAGTTCCCGAACTTAACAAATGAATGAAATTACAGGACTTTATGGTATATCATTGGAATGGAGCTATTACTCATGTTAATGTAAGCAGGTAGTAATTTACATATTACCTCAATTATATGGTTGTTATATCAATGGGCATTTTATTGTTTAGTTGTTTTTTTATGGGAGACAGACAATATTATTTTTTAAAGGAAATATATTTCTTTTTCAAATATTATGTAAACATAAAAGTCTAGATTACTATACTTATTAATCAAATATTTGGGATTCATGCTTTTATACAGATTATTATTTTTTGATAAATAGACATCTTTCGAATTCGTGCACTTCCCTGTAAATTAACTGTGTCATAATGCTTATGTTATTACGTCACAGTAAGAATGTATTGTTCGATGACTTTGTTTATGCTGATTTACTCCTCCCCCCGGGATCAACCGATGTAGCTCATTCATAAAAAAAAGAACTGGAGATTGGTGTATTAAACACAAACCTATCAATGTTAAAAGATAATCTCTTTTGAGGGGATTAATAAACTCCATAATATAGAAAGAAAAATTGGGATACCAATTGTTTAAGGTTGACGCTCAATTTATTTGCTTTCTTCATACTATTTGTGTATTTGATTAAATCTTTTAGTATGCTCAAAACAACATTTGCTTTACTGATGACATTTCCATGACTGTTTTTTACAATCTTATAAAAACAAGAAGATGTGGTATGATTGCCAATTCAATGAGACAACTATCCACCAGAGATCAAATGACATAGAAGTTAACAACTTGTTCAGTTGTCATACCGAAAACTTATTTAATCTTGTATACTAGGCTTTATATCAGTTCATGATAATATAGTCTTTTAAATGTGACTTAATTTGAAATAAAAGAGCTGATGATCAATAAAGGAGTTAATGAAATGAATAAAATTATGTAAATTGTATTATTTTCGTGAAAATGGTATCAAGTAGGAAAAGTAAATTATTGTTATAATGACTGCAGCATATTTATACTAAAATGTAAGATTTGTTATCTATATATCAGGATGTGAATTTTGTGTATTTATGACATATTGGTATAAGATTATTGATATGGCTGGGTTAAATGCTTATTTATGTTATTTCTTTTTTAATATTATTGCTTCATTTTACTGATGTCTTCAGAAATGTTGATGATTAGAGCTAATATTTGTTATGCAAAATTGAGAGTTTAAAAAACAAAATACTCTAAATTCAGAAATAATTGGGTGTATTTATATTTGTGATTTTCAAAAATAAATAAAAATATGAGATTGTTATATAATATATAAATATAAGATATAAAATATATAGAATGCATTACAAAAGGGGAATAACTCTTGAAATAACAGTAGAAAATGTATGAAATTTAAGAAAAAATATCTCTTAAGACCAAAGAGATTTTTATAAACTGATTTCATGATTTACAGCTGTACCAATAACTAAATTAAATGAAACCAAAAAATCTCTGCATTAATGTTTAACCTGTATCTCCATCATAATGGTCTTTGCCTGGGATTTATATAATAGTTATATTTAAGTTGTTGACAGATAGAACATAAGTAAAATTCAATTTGGTGCTTGATCAGAATATTGTAACTTGTATAACTTTGTGGTATTTTGTTGTTCTATCTATGCAATAAAACAGAAGTTTTTATATTATTGATAATTGTGCATATTGATATTCACACATATATTTTGTATTCTTACATCTTATATTTATTCTTTGTGAAAATGTAAATTCAGTTAGAATATATCTATGCAATAAAACAGAAGTTTATATATTAGTGATGATAGTGCATATTGATATTTATTTGTGTTTGGATATTCACACATTTTTTTTGGTATTCTTACATCTTATATTTATTCTTTGTGAAATGCTCAGGAAGAGTGCAATAAATGTATAGTATTAATGACTTGCTATATTCTAGATGTCTTAATATTGAAAAAAAAACAAAAACCTAATAGCCCAACATGCAACAATGTGATACCCGAAGACTTGCTCTGATCAAGTCAATGGCATGTAAATTCAGTTAGAGTAAATAGTTTTTTAAGCACAGATCTTTCTAAATCTGATTTTAAATCAACTAGTACATCTACACACTAAGCTGAAAAATGAATCATAGAATTTCGTTGCTGATTTTGTTGATACTAATGGGTCTATTTTAGAGAAAACAATCGTCTGGTGTACCAAATTAAAAGCATAGTTTCTTTGAGGAGTTTGTTTTAAGAACATTAAACTGCAAGAATAAACTCAAAAAAGCAACTAATCCTCTTTTTACCATTCACATTACAGACAAATATATCATATTGTCAGAGTTATGCCACTTAATAAATGAATCAGGTTTTTGGTTTCTGGACGATAACACTAGTTAGCCTCCACCAAATCATATGAAATGGAAAATATTGTTAGGGACAACTCGATACAGATCCAGTTCTAATTTTACTGATTTCACTTTTGTCTGTTCAAAATTATGCCACTTGATTAAGTGGAAATATGTCATTTTTCGGTTTCCAGATGATGAATTCAGTAAGCCTTCAGCAAGTGATTTGGAATTTTGATAATGTTGCCAGGCTACTCTACACACAGATCCACTTTTCTTCTGTCTTTCCAAAGGTATGCTCCTATCTAAAGTGGAAAATAGTAAAAACAATTGTTTCTGGACGATACATGTAACTTGAGTAAGATTCCACCAAATTATTGCAAATCCAAAAATGAGGTTAAGGACAACTAAACAGATCTAGTATAATTTTATCGATTTTATTTTTGTCTTGAAAGAGCATAACATAGTCATTTTTTTTTTGTTTCCAGAAAATCATTCGAAATTTGGTAATGTTTTAGGGTTTACTGAACAGAGGTTGAGTTCAAATTTGATGGCTTTCCTATTTGTCGTTCTGTTGGTAAATTTGAGACCAAAATGAAGTTGAAATATCATCCATAGCTCGGCTTACAGAAGATGGTTCCTGTATAGTTTGTATGATGCATTAATTGATTTCAACAGATTATAGAGTTTTTGTGTCTAAAATAACTTTTTTACGTCCCAAAACCTTTTCTTTAGAAATAACTGATGCTACTCCTGCCTTCTTTAATATACTTATGTTTTCAAGCGATAAACATAGAAAAGTGTAGTCGTGTTGTGAACAAAAAGATATGGTTGCACATAATTGTGATATATTATGACATGGCAGTAGTCTAGAATTTGAATAACTTCAGACATTTTAGACATCAAATATGAGAATTTGTCCTTTCCAAAAAGTAATCTACTAATGACCAAGGAAAATAATGAATTGTAAAACTACCAAAATACATTGCATCACTCGCCACAGATGGAAAACCATCTTCGATTGCAGACAGGTATTAATGTAGAGATAGATACGTGCAACATCTGACCTAATTATCATATCATGATCATATCATGTTAGATCATGTAGGGTCGTTAAACTAGTTTCTACAGGTTCAATGCAATGTGATTACAATAGAAGATGACATAATGAAGAAAATGGATAGTAAATACAAGTGGTTGGTTTATAAAAATGTAAGAGGATTCCATCAAATACAATAAAAGAGAGTGCGAAAGATAACAAGGGAACATTCAAACACAATTCGAAAACAAGCTGACAACGCCATGGCAAAAACATTGACCACTAAAGACTGAGCAACACGAACCCCACCAAACCGGGGCTGATCTCAGGTGCTGAAGGGTAAGCAGACCCTCAGGCTGTTTCACATGTGGCACCCGTAATGTCGCTCATGTAAGTACAAATCCGGTGATAAGTCTAAGTCTGTAGGTCACATTCTGGGAGAGAGGATGGGATTGTGGCTACGAAAACCTGAATATATTCGCCGTCATCTGTGAAACAGATATTCCATAACGGTCAACCAATTCGTGATAGCGACCGTACAATTTTCAAAGGGATGATTTCAATTTCACTGGTTGGAACTCTTGGCTTAATAGCTTCCTTATGAGTAGTAGCCCTCTATCAAGGAAATCATGATAGGAAATGCAAGATCTGGAATATCGAATTAACTGGGAGATAAAATATGCTGGAACATAGAAAAAAGTTCACACGTGCAAGTTGAATAAAAAAAAACAACAGAGGGAGCACCTCGAAACACACACCACAAGATTAGGCAATGAATAAAACTTATCATAGATATCAGGAATAAAAATTTTGTACGGCAGAAGTGCGTTTCGTCTACAAAAAAACTCATCAGTGACATTCGAATTAAAAGTTTAAAACGATTATAAAGTACGAAGTTGAAGAGCATTTAGGAAAAAAAGGTTTGCCAAATATAGCTCAGATAATCTCTCCTGGGGTACAAATCCTTAGTATTTCGAAATATTCAAAGTTTTATAAACAATTTATCATTATGACCAAATCAATCATGTCAACACATAAGTGTTCCAGGATAGTATTAAAGTTTGTAGCACCGTTGTGTTGCACATAACTTGCAATCAATCCAATATTAAGTCGTACTTGATGATGCTATTACCAAGTATAAGACGACGGTACGTTTGTATATTGTTGAAGACCGTATTGTGACCTCTAGACGACTTTTGGAGTTGTTGGTGATTCCTTTGCTGTCCTATTGACACATGCTCCACCTCTGCTATTCATATAATGCACTTTTAACAGTTTTGAATGTTTTTTACACGTTTTATGGTTTTGCATGTCAAACGCACACTGTTTATTTTTTTCGTTGTACTTTTTTAAAAATAGGTATAATATGCTATTTACAATGTTAACATTAAACTGGTGTAGTATATATGGCATTATGTCTTCAGAAAGGCAAAGAAATGCAGATATGGATGTTTCTGCAAAAGAAAAAACCGAGATTGAATATTATTTAGTATAGAAAATCACGACGGAGACCCAATATACATGTCTAAACAACGTTAAGGTAGATATACATGGATAAAAAATAAATGCCGGTGTTTCTGAACAAATTTAACGGAAATAAATGTAAAAATCTTTAATAAATCTCACTTATATAAACAAGTTGCTTTCTTTAAAAAAAGAAAAGCAATATGTGAACCTAAGACCGCTGACTGGTCACAAAAAGATTGTTGCTGAATTTTTGTTTGCTTTTTAATTGAAATAATTGACTGTGAATAGAAGGAGATAATGATGAAGTTAAACTACCTTAATTAAAAATATGTAATAGTTTGTACATTCTTGCACAAGTCAGTTGAAAGCAATGTTGGATAGGTGTGAATACGGAAAAGTCACGTATATACAGCTACTGTTTGATTATACATTTTAAAGCTCGACTATTTCATTTATTACGTGGGATTGTACATCATTTTTTATAATCCTATTGCAAATCCCAGTTTCTACAAACCGATTGTATAATGCAAATTGCACAAACCAATCGCAATATAAATTTGCTCTCAGTTTGCTTTATAATCTGGATGCATTTATTTTATCTATCACATCTTTATATTTTGTTTCCTGCATGGATGCCTTCATATTCTCAACTCGTTATTGAAGTTGTCTGTACTCATGGTAGATGTTGTACAGATAAATTTAAAGTCCATTTTCCATGTGAAGTGAAACCCTGTAGCATGCAACTTATAAGAAGGTTTCGTATATTTTTCTTGAGAGTAACACACCAGCTTCATTTGGACCTCTTATATAGAGACTTATTTTGGTCTCATAAAACATCTCAAATTTTAAGGATTTCCTGATTTTACTTAAATCAATCCAAATATTTTACAGGGAAACTTGGTTTTGAAGAATATCTTATTTTCAGAAGTTTTATGAATACCTAAACATACTCTCAAAAGAACCAATTTATATAAAAAGACATGTAGATACATGTATAAAAAAAATACCAGGATTAACATGTTGTACGCCAGACGCGAGTTAAGTCTACAAAGAATCATCAGTGACGCTCGAATAAAAATGTTAAAAAGGCCAAATAAAGTACGAAGTTAAGTAATCTATTGTGCCTGATATTCATATGATGAAGACATAATCTTTCAATCAGTTTAACTGAGGTCTGGAGCTGGCATGTCAGTAACTGCTAGTAGTCTGTTGTTATTTAAGTATTATTGTCATTTTGTTTATTTTCTTTTCTTTCCTATTCTGACATCGGACTCGGACTTCTCTTATACTGAGTTTTACTGTGCGTACTGTTGTGTGTTTGTTTTTACTACATTGGCTAGAGGTATAGGGGGAGGGTTGAGATCTCAAAAAACATGTTTAACCCCGCCGCAATTTTGCGCCTGTCCCAAGTCAGGAACCTCTGGCCTTTGTTAGTCTTGTATCATTTTTAATTTTAGTTTCCTGTGTATATTTTGGAGTTTAGTATGACGTCCATTATCACTGAACTAGTATACATATTTGTTTAGGGGCCAGCTGAAGGACGCCTCCGGGTGCGGGAGTTTCTCGCTGCATTGAAGACCCATTGGTGGCCTTCGGCTGTTGTCTACTCTATGGTCGGGTCGTTGTCTCTTTGACACATTCCCCATTTCCATTCTCAATTTTATTCCTTGGGTAGAAAATCCTTGGCATTTCGAAAATGTCAAAGTTTATAAAAGGACAGTGACTTAAAAAAGAAAACAAAAGAGAACAGCTAGAGGTCAGAATACCGTAAGCAATGATGACCGTGCTTGAAAGTCACATGGCAAGCTCTTATTGTCGTGTCCTGAATTTAGATAAGAAAAGCGAAAATTCGCATTCGCGAGTGAAATTAATATTTATGCATGAACGTGGTATTTTTGCGCAAGAAATAGTAAATAGAAAGCATACGCACTGTCAAACTACCTACCTCAAGTGTTTTGACTCCGGATTCATTGACATTTTATCCGGAATATTTGTGAACGCAAACCGATAGTGTGCTTGTGAACTGGGTGAAGTATAATGTGAATGAATCAAGACGTGTAGGATAGCTGACCAACACAATGAATAC